CCATCTATCCGCTCCACTATTTATCTGCTATCTCTGCAACCCCCCCCACCATTTATTTCAGAATCCCCTTCCCCTCCCCCATCCTCTGAAGAAGAGTCCCGACCTGAAACATCAGCTTTCCTACTCCTCTGATGCTGCCTGGCCTGTGTTCCTCCAATATCCTGGTGAGTCTCCTCTGCATCCACTCTAGTGCAATTATGTCTTTCTGATAGTGTGGCAACCAGAACTGCTTTTAGTATGCCATCTATGGCCCGACCAATGTTTTATAAAGTTGTAATAGGACTTCCTTGCTCCTATATTCTATGCCCTGATTAATAAAGACAAGCATCCCATTTGTCTTCTTCACCATCTTGTCTACATGTGCTGACATCTTCAGGAATCTATGGACTTGTATAACAAGATATCTTTGTTCTTCAGGACTTCCTAGGGACCTACCATTCATTGCATATATCCTTCCCTTATTAGACCTCACAAAATACATCAGGATTAAATTCCATCTGCCACTGGTCTGCCCAATTTATCAGCTGATCAATCAGACTGTCGCCCAAGATCATCCTCATATCAACAACACGACCAATTTTCATGTCACTTGCAAGCTTATTAATTATAGCTTCTATACTCACATCCAAGTCATTATGGTACACGTCAAACTGCAAAGGTCCCAGCACAAATCCCTATGGTATAACACTGGTCACAAGCTTCCAATCACAAAAATATGGTTTCCTTTATCAATAATGCAGTGCTCCCACCTCCCTTAATCCCTTCCTATTGCACCTAAAACTTTGACACCTTAGAATGTTGAGGTGGCAGCCCTGTCCTTTCTTCAACCATCTCTCAGTGATTGTTACAATATCATATTTCCATTTGCTGATCAACAGTCTAAATTCATCCACCTTACCACTCAAACTCCTTGCATTAAAATAGATGCAGTTTAGTTTTCTGAACCTCCCGTGTCTTCTCTGCATTTTGGACTGTACTAACATTCCTTCTACATCTAATTGGACCTTGCTCCCTACTTTACACCTGTGCCCCACCCTCTGCCAATTTGATTAAAAGCTGCCCAGTGGCACGAGCAAAACTCCCAACAAGGAAATTGGGCACATTCCAGTTCAGATGCAACCTGTCCAGCTCATACAAGTCCCACCTACCCCAGATGATGTCCCAATGATCCAAAAAAATCTAAAACCCTCTCTTTTACACCAGCCCTTTAGCAATGCGTGCATCCTATCTTACTATTTCTATACTCAGTACCATGCAGCACTGGAAGAAATCCAGAGATTAGCAGTCTTCTTCTTTAACCTACAACCTAACTCTGTAAATTCTTCTGCATGACCTCACTTTTTTTTTTTTAAAAACTTATGTTGTTAGTATTGACATGCACCATGACTGCTGGCTATCCCCCTTCAGAATGCCCTGCGGCTGCTCTGAGACATTCTTGACCCTGGTACCAGGGTCATACCATTCAAGAATCTTATGCTGCCACAGAAATCTCTTTACAATTGGGTCTCCTATCACTCAAGCTCTCAGTCATTTTCCTCCCCTGCACTTCTAGCTTGTATAATAACAGTAAGTGCACCCCAAAAGATATTAATTGACTGTGAAGTATTTTGAATAGTCTGAACTTGTAAAAGGTGCTGCACACACACCACCTCTTTCTTATCTACTAAGCTGTTAGGGAGCACAGGTTTTAAGTTGAATACGCTTCTCCAAAATACAAAATTTATAAAGAATAGCTCCAGTTTCCGAGTTATCAAGATAAAACATGAAACATATTTAGGTTCAGAGAGCTGCATCTTGAGATCAGGTACATTCATGTCTGAAGTACATGGTCTGAGTCACATCAATGAGGCCACAGAGAGAGAGTATGGAACTTCAAATCACTCTCCAAGTAATTAAATAAAATTACGGTGACATCTCCATCTCAGTGAGAACGATGACTTTAGGAAAGTGTTTCAGTGAGAATTCATTCCACCTGATGCAGTAATCCATGTTGTAGGGATGCTCCAGGTTCATGCACTTCTTCCCAGCTTTCAGTCTATTATGCATTTAAGTTCATTACCAAGAGACATGTAACAGTAGCTCATAATATCTCCCCGCAACAAACAGCGATTCACTTCAATCCTTGCCGTCACATTCTTGAACTGAGACACTCAATCATGAACTCCTTTCATCCCACCCTTACTTGGCTGGGGTGGGGGAAATGCTCCCAAGTTAGGGAAGCAACATCAGCCAGATGACCTCTTCTGATTCATTGACTCCCTGTGGAGAACGTGTAAACAACTGGCTGCTCATAATCCAGCAAGTGACTTGGCTTTAAATCCTCAAACCCTCCCGATCTTCAAGAGAAAATGTTTGGTTTCTCGTCAGTTTCTCAATACCATTAAAGGCATTCAAACACACCCCTCCACTTCTCAAGTGCATTACTTTAAATTCTCATGTCCCTTAAATTATTTTATTTCAACAAATAATGTTTTTGTTCATGTTACAGTTGTTAAGCCCTCTGCCTATCATGAAGTAGATACAAGAGGGGAAACTATTCAAAAAAATAGTTGTGAATTGTGGCTTTACTTGTCAGGCTGGGGCCTGATGTCTGTAAAGCTGCAATCACGTCAGTGAAATAGAAAGCACATTGCTGCTCATATTCTGAGTTGAACGGGTCAGCCAGCTCACAGGCAATCTCTAGACAGCAGTTAAGTACTGAAGCAGTACCTATTTAGTTCGGACACATCCTGTGAGAAGCATCTTATGAAAGACAGCTTGTAATGGGCTTTTCACATACAATGGTCACTGGGTAATTTGCATTACAGGGTTTCTTCTGATGTTACTCTTCCCAGTGGAGCCAATAGTCTGATAGAAAGCAGCAGAAAAGTCTATAGCTTAGGTGCCTTAGTGTTAAATTTAATGCTAATGAGAGTGGGACAAAATTTAGCTCAATACAATGCAATTTTAAACACACCGGATCCTCTTCAAACCTTCAGTGTCACAGCTTCTCTTTAGCCTTTGGTGACCTTCTTACTCGAGTTCATTCAAAGGCACAACAAATATTTAACTCATTCATAACTAAAGGAGCCATTTGGCATTGTTCCCACCGTGGACCTTGGTCCTAAAAAGATGCCAGATGGCATCACTGCAGCTGCTTGCAGCAACATGATCTATTGCAAGTGGCATCACAATGGCAATGCATGGTGAATGAGTTAATCTACATCAATAGTGAAAAGAGGAGGAAAAAAATACATTAATAAAACACAAAGGCCAAATAACCAGATTGTCATAATTGACCCAAAGGTCCTGGACACATATGCCTCCTTGCAGCTTTCCTATGATTCACTGTTAAGGTACCAGTTGCAGTATTTGTTATGCAAACTTGTAGAGGTTGTGTTTATTCGACTACAGAAGAGTGTGTGTGTGTGTGTGTGTGTGTGTGTGTGTGTGTGTGGGTGAGTGACAGAAGAGTGGTGTGGGAGAGGGAGAGGGAGGGGGCTTAAGTTCAGACTTTTAAAAAATTATGCAACCATCAGCTAATTTGACTTGGTGTCATAACACTTGAGGGAAGCTCACTAACGAAAATCCATAGAACAAAACACATTACCAACCAGCTGGCAGATGGGAGCTTACTTTTCAGGAATGCTGCAAGTTCATACAAGGTTCGGTCATCAGAATTTCCATCCCATTTCTTTAGTGCAATACCATTGAAGGGCTGGAGGCTGAAAGCTTCTTTTTTACAGTCCACAATAATAACTTTGGAAGGATCCCTGTTCAAGCACGACACGTCCTACAAAAAGAAAGTTATGAAAATTCCACACAATCAGGATTCAAAAGATTCAGCTAAGGCAGTGGTAAAACCAAGCAAATAAGTTTCACACTTGATTCTCAGTCTAAGTGGTCAGAGGATCTTAGCACGTGCAATGCCAGCCTGAGTCGAGTTGCTCCAATGGATAATGTTAATTTTTTTTGGGGGCAGGGGTGCAGAGGGAGGAGGAGGAGGACCTGAATTACAACTAGTAGCTGTGGAAAAGTAGAAACAAACTTGTTGTAGGTAGAAACAGGAATAATCCGTTTGATTGATTCTGCTATGTTAATTGATCTTAGCAGTTGGACACTAGCTTCACAGCAATGTCCAGTCAAGAATTTTTTGCAGCAGGGAGGGGTATGGGATGGGGAGGCAGTGGTGATGGTGATGTTGAAGGGCAGACAGAGGGAGGGAGAGTAGTCACTTTTGAGAGGGGGATGGCTCCTTGGGGAGGAAAGGACATCCAATGCCTGGCTGAGTCAGGGAAGAGAGATGGAATGAGAGAGAAATTAGTAATGAGAAACAGGAGAAAACTGGAAAGAATTGAAAAAAGTTTAAAAACAAAAAAGTCAGGTGAATATCGTATTAATAAAAAGACATTAATATTAATTAGACTTGCCACCATCTGCACATACAGACTGCTCAGAATCTTCAATATATTTATTGAAAACCTATCTGGTCTCAAACAAAGTGCACCAGTCATTGTTTAACCAGAGAAATACTAAAAAGTAAAACTTTGTAGATTTAATTGAAATTAAATCTAGTCAGTCCACATAAACATGCAGTGTGCTAAAGGAGCAATTTTACATCTTGCAAAGAAAGGTTAGCATATCTCTACTTTGTAGGCATCAGATATAAAACCGTGATCAAGTTCAACGAGGATGAAACTTCAAATGGTGTGAAAATAATATCAGATTTCTACAGTAACATTTCATTTATATAAGAAACAAACAGCTCTAGAGCTGCTGTCATTTTGTGAAGGTCTCCACGTTACCTATTGATATACAACCCTGGAAATGAGAAACGTGCAGATCTGAGCTTAACATACAACAAAGATGAAAGGCTTGATGCCAGGTCTGAGTAGTGTTAAGTAACTTAAGCAAGGATGACTGTAGGCAGGAGCGCATCATTGTGCTGATTGACATATTCAATTCATCCTGTTTATCACTACAATCAGTTTCTGTCTTGCCAAAAGCACTGAGCCTGCCTTGGTCACGCTGACCAATTCCACTTGACTGTAACCATGGCACAATATCTGTCCTCATTATTAACCTCTTAAATGCTCATCACGAACATTAAAAAGGCAGGCCATTTGGTTCTTCTAGTCTGCTCTGCTATTCAATAAACTGGAGGCTACTTGCTAAACTGAATATCACTTTACAGCCCAATGTTTCAAGTCCAAAATGCACTGGACTGAGGCTTAAAATTGGACTACACAGCTTAAAAGACTCAAATTTCTCATTTTAGTCCTGAAATGTCAACCATCTTGTGATCATGCTACCTATTTTAAGACTCTCTTGTCTGGGAAAACAGACTCTCAGCATCTACTCTGTCAACACCAATCTTACATGAGATCACCACTCATTCTTCTTAAACACTTGAAGGTATAGACCCATTCTACTCCATCTCTTCATAGGAGAATCCCTAAAATCATTCCAGTGGACCGATATTGCATCCCCTCTAAGAAGAGGAAACCAACTACAATGGCCAGTTGCAGGAAGGCTGTATTACTCCTTGTACTCCAACCCTGCTGCAATAAAGGGCAACATTCCATTAGCTTTCCACACTGCTTATTGCACCCTTTGTGATTGGTGTACAATTGCACCCAATCCATCTAAACACCAACTCATGATTTAAGAATGTTTTTGCAATCTCAAAGTAACTTATATTTCTTTACATTACAGTTACCAGCTCTTGAAGAAATTCTCTGGGGGGTACCAAATGCAGTCTTTGAGTGTTGGCTTGGGGTGGGTGGCGGGGTGTGAGTTACTGCATGCTATAACTTCCATAAAGATGTTACTAATCAAAAAGGATTATGAAATCTCATGACCTCATTCTCATCCACTCCTCTTGGTTGCAAGTTGAGGATTGAGAATTCATTAATAGCTTATGACAATAACTCAACTTGAACCACAGCCACAATGACTATGTCCACATTCAGAAGTATCACAAGACTGTTCTCAGCCATTATCATGCAACAAGCCATTCAGTGATCAAGAACAATTGGCATGGCCTTTACAGTTGATGCAGGTGAGATTTACTGGAATGGTACTAGGGCTGAAGGACCTCAGTTCCATTGAAAAGGTGGGGCTGAGAAAATTTGACAGGGAAAGCCAAACTCATCGGCAGTTTCAGGGAAAGAAGAGTTTGGTAATCAGAGGATTCAGATTTAAGATGAATGGCAGGAGAACCAATGAAGTTAACTATCCTGAAAAAGTGGTGGACACTGATTTCAACTGCAACTTTCAAAATTAATTAGATAAATTCATGAAGGGAGAAAGCTTTTACAAGACTGTGTAAACAGTAGGAGTGACACTAATTTTAGGAGCCCTATTAAACAGATGGCATAGTAATGACAGGCCAAAGGTGCTACATCATTCTAACATTTTATAACCTCAGATCAGAATCACAACTGTATTGCATCTGCAGTGTGCCCATGCTATATATCTGGTTTAATTTTCTCCACATTGTGCCTAAAGATATTGGTTTTTGATATGGGACATCTCATTTGGTACCTCATCCAACTGGCTGTTCTTCCTACTGAACCAAAGCAATGCGTTTCAAGAGGTTCGGTCAGGTTTATCACAGTGATGCTCAATGTTATTTTCTCACATTTGTATCTGCAAGGATTAGTGATTAAAGTGTTTCCCTTCTCCATCTCAAGGGCTGGCCAAGCTGAGCTGAACCAATTCAGAACACAACATACCATCCTAGGCTATGGAATGAAAAGCAGCCCAGTTCCTGGTCCATGATGGGTCATGTATTAAAACAAACCTGGAAAAGTGCATGCATGTGGACAGATATGGATTAAGGGCAGGTTAGACTGTTAACACTCAAATGGTTAAACTCACATGAAGCATATCCACTGAGATGCAGCTGAGTAAAAAATTAATATCCCTAAGCATGAGTTAGCACCTTCAGGGAGGAGAAGATTGGAATTGAGAAAACAAAAGAAAGTGAGGCGTACACAACATTGTAAGCTACCTGGCTTCCTCAAAAATTGCTCCATCAAACCAACTTAACCAAAGAGTATGAGTATTATCCTCTTTTTAGAAATAAGTATACTTTTATTACAGGATGGTAAAATTTGCTTTTTAGACTTCTAGAAGAACTAATTTCATAGAATTTACCTTCAATTAGTTTCACCTCAATTAAATTACATAAGCTTCCTACAAGTACATAGCAACTTTCTTCAGACACCAGAGTCATATCAGCTAGCAAGCTCCTGGGCTTGATGTCTGGTCAAAGGTGAAATAGCTGATCTCAGTACGACAAAGGAAACATTAAAATTTACATCTGCATTCCTGGAAATATCAAACAACATGCCTGCTCTTAATACAACTGAACATCTCCCTGCTAAACATAGACTGCATGATTGACTGCAACTCACTAAGCTGAAATGATCAATACAGTTGAATAACTTTCCAAGATTTGTTATGAAGTCTTGCACAAGACCATTTTGGAAGATAACTAGCATTTACTGAATCATGTACCCCAATGAAGAGTCAAAGTTTTGAGACAAGGAAAGGGGGAAGCAGACTACTGTACAGAAACAAACTAATCAAACAATTCTTAATTGCCTTCTGGGGCTCTTCAGTGTTCTTGATAAATGTGACAGCAGTAATTTCCACAATCTCCCCTCTTTGATACACTGCTTCCTGGCATTTTGGCACGGTTGCATGGAGAAGGAGAGAAATGAATGTTTTATCATAAGAGGAGTTTTGAACTGGCTAAGTCCGAGAAATCATCTTCTTGAAATATACAAGATCCTGAGGGAACTTCACAGTATACTTTTATGCAATACGGATATTTCTTCTTGTAGAGACTCCAGGGCTAGGAGACATAAAAGGGAGACTCCCCTTATTTTTAAATTGAGACAAAGAGAGATCGTTTCCGAGAGTCATGAGTCTTTTGAAGTCTTCCCTCTCCTGAGAACAGCACAGAAAAATTACTTTTAAAGCACAGGTAGATAACTTTTGACTGCCTTGTTAGTGAAGAATTTATCTGGACAGGCAGAACTATAAGCCATAATCAGATCATAGTGATGGTTACCATGATAGCTATCATGATTGTTATAAAAACCCATCTGGTTCACCACTGTGCTTTAGGGAAGGAAATCTGCTGTCCCTACCTGGTCTGGCCTGCATGTGACTCCAGACCCACTCTACCGTAGCTGACTTTTAACTGCCATTTGATATGGCTCAGCAATCCGCTCAGTTCAAAGACAAATAATGCAGACTATATCTGTGGCCCATCAGGCCACAAGATGTAGGAGAAGTAGGTTATTTGGTCCATTGAGTCTGGTCCTCCATTCAATAAGATCATGTCTCATCCAGTAATCCTCAATTCTACTTTCATGTCTTATCCCTATATCCTTGGATTCCCTACTGATTAAAAAGCTGTTTATCTCAGCCTTGAATACACTCAATGACCCATCCATTGCTTTCCACAGATACACTATCCTCGGAAAAGAAATTCCTCCATTTCCATCTTAAATGGATGATCCCTTTCACAGATAAAGGACCGGAGGGACCTTGACTCTTTTACAAGGGAAAAGAACTGCCTGCATCTACCCTGTCAAGCCCCCAAAGAATCGTACATGTTTACTAAGGCTTCTCTCATTCTTCCAAACTCCAATGAGTACAAGCTCAACCCCATATTAACCTGTCCTCCTAAGAAAATCCCTTCATATTCGCAATCAGCCTAGTGAACTTCCCCTGGGCTACCTCCAACACCAGTGTGTCCTTCCTTGGAGAAGGGGC